GTCAGGTGGGAATTAGCAACACGAAAACAACAACAATTAATAATTCAGTTGCAACGAGAGACAGCAACTGTGGAGGGGTATCCTGCCAAGGATCTGCCAAGAGTCTATTTCTGCTGCTCCACCCTATCGTTCGTGCCACTAGCAATGGCCCCATAGTGGCACTGCCTATGAACATTCCCTTCGCTCCAAAAGGGCATTCAAATACAAATATAACTCAAGGCTCATGGCTCATGGCTCATGGCAGATGCCAACTGCCAAGTGGCAAGTGGCAAGTGAAGCTTTCGCGTGAATGAGTTTCAGTTGAGTTTCGACTGAGTACGAATATAAAGCCGAAAAGCGAGACAAAATTGGGTCAATTAGGATTGGCGTTTGATGAATACTTTACGCGGTGGGTTGGCCCTGGCTGGGCATGGCGGATGGTTCCTGGCAACTGACTCCTGACCCCCCTCGCCTCCTTATGCACAACAACAACAGCACACCAGAGTCTACCACAGCTCAGTGGTGTTGGTGTTCTCTGTTGTCTGAGGCGACATGAATTTGGTCTATTATTTCTGGCTCTTCTTCCGTCCATGTGTGCATCTACGGGAGTGTGTGTGTGTGTGTGTGTGTGTGTGTGCGAATGAGAGTGCGTGCCATCAATACACGGAATACACAAAAAGAAAAAGGGAAGAAGGATGGGGGATGGGGGATGTGGGATGTGGGATGAGAGAGGAAAAAGGAAGAAGGAGCACTAGGAAATTTACAAGTTAGTCAACGTCTTGTCACGCACGTACAGTGAGCCGTAAGGCAGAAGGCCAGACATGGCTGCTGACCATCAGCAGACAGGTTCGTGCCTCCTGTGGCTCATACACCTGCCTTCACCCGCACCCTCACCCTCACCCTCACCCTACATCCTGGTAAAGGGATGGGCGCAACTATTTTCTCAGCCATAAGTTGGCGAAAACTGATTTATCTGCTGGCATCGAAGCCAGTGCGAGTGCCCCAATGCATTTTGATTAGGGGCAACAAGGTTAATTCGCTGTGATGCTATGCGAATTGGACTGAAGGCCGGTTAAGAATAGATCATGCCATTTATCCGAGGGTTAAGCTGCAGGCCTGACCCTGACCCTCTGACTCTTAATTTCAGCCCATCCCCGGAGACCCTAATAGACTCTTCCAGTGCCATTACTGCCATTGAATTTCCCTTGCCACAGGGCTGGGAAATTGCTGTCAACGACAAAAGAAGCCCATAAAAATAACGCAAATAAACAATTTCACTTAAGTACAAAACACGTAAAGAAAGGAAATGAAAAGCAGCTGCCAACCACAGGAGTAGCAGGGCGGTAGCAGGGGGGTAGCAGGGCGGTAGTAGAAAAACGGACAGAGGTTGGGAGGTTGGGAGAGGGAAGGGCTGGCAAGAAAATATGTGGGCTTTCCCCAGTCGATTCGCTTAGACGCTTGATCGATTCAGATTACAATTCCCATCTGATACCGAATCCGAGACATGGTCAATTAGTTTGTAAACAAATTGCCCGCAACGCCAAGAGTGTCACCCAATGTGGCTGCCAGCAATAGGGGGGCGGGCGCTGCAGCAGTGGCTCCTAACTATGGGGCTGGTAGCCGTAACCCCACTTAAATTAAGTGACAATGGCAAACCATATACATAATGAATTACTCCATAAGCCGCTAAACTAGGTCAAATTATTCCCGGGTCTTCACTGCTCGCTGGCAGTTCCGTTCGCGGGGTTGGTTATTAGTGCTCCGTGGAGTTCCGTGGGCTTCCTCCTCCCACCTCCTCTACGGCAATTATTTTGGATATTTATCGTCCCACAGGCACAACGGTAAGTACACCAAGCAATATAGCTTCATTGCTCATGCTAGGAGGGAGCACATAGATTTGTACTGGATATACAAATATAAAAAACAGGCGAGCTATGCCTGGACCTGACCTGCCTTTAGCTCTCGATACTAAATTCAGTGCCAGAAGGATGGGGCTTGGGTATAATAGAATAAAGCCAGACAGTGCCTAGCCAGACAGTGCCTCAGATATATCTTCTATTCTTTAATCTATTCCTTTACGAAAACATCCTCCATGCGAAACCAATCTACCCTGCCCCACGGCGTTCGGAGGGTACGATAATAAGCCACTGTCCAGCCCCAGTTTTATGGCCCTTTCTGCTCGCAGCGCTTGCCATTTTCCACGGATTGTGATTCAGTGTCAGTTACTGTTCTGGTTTCGGTTTGCACTGCGCCAGCAAGGAGCTGGCACGGGACGAACATCTGTTCCTGACCGGGCACTCAGGGCGTATGAGTGATAGGCCACAGGCAGAGAGGACGCTCTAAATCATCCCAATCATAGTTTATTGATTGGCCAGTTCCCCAGACTAACCAGATTAGCCAGACTAACCAGATTAGCCAGATTAACTAAATAAATCGTCTCTTCAGACAAGTGCCATTGATTTTTAATATTTTTTTGATATGAAATAATTTGTCAGGGCAATAATACATTACGCTTTGTTGCGAGCAGCTGTCCCGGCTATCGGAACACCGGAAACAATCATGTTATCTGCCTAGCCATCAATCAATTGGAGGTAGATGTCAGGTTGCTTGATTTTCGCTTGATTTTCGCTTGATTTTCGCTTGATTTTCGCTGAGTGGCTTCCTACAGCGGAAGCAACTCGTGTCAATGAACTTTGTAATCAATTTTTAATCACTGACACCAAGCCACCCAAACCATAGCCAGAGCCAGAGCCAGAACCAGAACCCACCATAAGCACCCGAGCCGCGCATTGACGCCAATTCCCAAATTAAATTGAATAAATCTCGGAGTGCGCCCACGCAGTCACAGAGTGGAGCACAGTGCGGCCTCCGCCAGCCAGCTTTCGAAATTAATATTTCCGCTTTTGTTGGCTCTTTTTGGCTGAGGGCCCCACTGTGCGATGCACCTGAACAAAGTCAAAGCAACGCGCAGTGGGGCCTTTGCTAGATTAATATTTCGACTTTTGCCCTTTACCTTTTACCTTTTTTTGTCGGCTGAGACCCGACTATGCGACGCGCCTCAAAGGCAATGAAGTTGCGCTGGCGGCGGCGAGCGACTGCACACTGGTCCGTGGCTGTGGCAGGAGGGAATGAGTCGCACGGACGAGTCCATCTGGGCCGCTCGTCCCACTGTGCCTGTGGTATTTCCGTTCACTGGCTCGCAGCCTCGCAGCCTCGCTTCTGCCAGGCCCAGCGCCCTCTGGCTTTGGTGGTGGCAATAACAAAGCCTGCGTGAAATATGTCAAAGGGAAGAGGACAGGACTAGTGGCAGTGGTGGAGATGTGGGCGGGAGGAAGAGATCCTGCATCAACACGCAATTGTTGACGGGTTGCCAATAGATTTGCTTTCCAATTGTTGCTCGCTTTTCAGCAGCAGACAGCAGGGGGGGAATAAGCAAAGAGCAAAACTCACAAAAAGCAAATCAGAGAGAAAAATAAAGCAGCAAGCCGAAAGCAGCAAGCAGCAGCACCTGCGTGTCAGGCAAGCGTTCTCAAAGCATACTTTCGGAGCGGCCAGCGGTTCAATGAACGGCAAATTGGCGCCCTCGCCACCCTCGCCACACACAGTGTGTGCCAATGGCCAATTCTATGTAAATAAATATCGTCCAAAGTCAAAAATATACCTCATCTCTCCTACGAGTAGGAGTTTGAGTTCCTTTTTGTATTCGAAAATATTATATGTAATTATATATGGTGAATATAATTAATATGTATGAGCTAAATTGGCTGTTTTGCCCACTGTACGAGCTCAGGGTCCCTCCACCTTGCCTCCACCGCCAGTTACGTGGCATTACGGACAACGTGTTGGATTTAATTCAGAAAACAAATGTAATTAAAGCATTAAGCAACCAGATTGAGTAATGAGTAATCACCACCGCCAAGGGGCAAGAGCCAAGAACAATGCCACGGCAAGAACAAGACCAAAACACAAACACGGAGTCAAAGCGTTGGCCGAAACGAACTGGCAGGACGGCAGCAGCACAGTTGAGATCTGGAAATTAGTGGCCGTAGGATTCAGAGCCAGAACCAGAGCCCGATTGCCACTACTTTCACGCCCATCTCCAAGGTGAAGGGTAAAGGCCTGAGGCCTGGGGCCGCTTCTCTCGTATGAGACAATGGGGCAGGGAGGGAAGACCAGACCATAGCTGCCACAGGTACGATACGGCTTTGTTGCTGTTCAACTGCAAGAAAAATCAAATCAAGTTGGATGAAGCAGCAGGAAATAAGAAAATGTATCTATGGCTGGCAAAACCAATTTCCACAGTCAGAAAACTTTTTCCACGAGTATATTTAATTGAAACAACAATGTGTGCCCGTGCAGTAGTTATGTACCTTTCGTTCATATTTTTATTGCAATTATTTTGACTAATTTTCAACCTTGCCGTAGAAGTTTTTGTCTTTTGTTAGTTCATCCAGTGAGCAGCTCCAGGCTTCAGGCTGCAGGCTCCAGGCTGGTGTCCGAGCAACCCGAAGCTGCTAAGCAACTTGAAGAAGCTATCAAATGGAAATCCATTTACATTTTGGCAGCCTAGCACGCTCGATTAACCATTCCATCAAGGCACAAATCCTGATCCGGAATGCACTGCCAAGAATGTTGGGATGTGGGGCTGGCAGAAACAGGCAGAAACAGTCAGGGACAGGGACAGGGACAGGGACGCGCTTGCAAACTTGTGAATGCGTTTCGAATTATTTGTGCATGTTCATCAGATATGTATGCAGGCAGCTTGGATGTTTCCGCACCCTGATGCCTGATGCCTGACGCCCGTCGACTGAAAGTTCTCGGTGTAGGTTGCAGCACCCAGTACGGGCTAATCAATGTGAGATTATTTGTGAGATCATATACATATGTAAGCAAAAATATATGTACATTAATTGCTCGGCATTTGTCGGAGTTATCCCGGGTACTTGCTTACTAAATGGGGCCATTCTTGAGGTGGGCAAGTCCTCAAGCAAATTTTGTGTAGTGTGTAGTGACCTACTCACCAAAATATAGCAGACTTGTCTGGGTTGACGGTAAAAGGCTGGCTTAGGGGTGGCCAGGCACAGAGACCGAGCTGGGAGAAGCAGCAGCAGTAGCAGTAGCTGAAAGTCAACTGAAAAGTGTGACTCGATTTCGCGTAGCTTTCGCTCGGGGCTCTGTTTGATTTGCGTGAACGTGGACATGGACGTATCGTTGGCATTTGGTGCGAGGCGATGCCTAAAGCTGAAAAGTCGCACCGCAAATGGGGAAAGCAAGCGATGAAAGCAAGCAAAGTTGGAAAAGCGAGCAGCGTTGGATGCGAGTAGGGGACATTAATTGGCGCAAGGTGGCCCAGTCAAGGGACAGACAGACAGACAGACAGACAGACACACTTGAGCCGGCACTTTCAGGTGGCAGCGGCAAGGACTGGCAGACTGGTATAGAGATGAGAATCGACAAAAGGATATAAACGAAAACAACAAAAACGGCAGGAAGCTGCAAGCTGCACAATGGTCCCAAAGTCGATTTTGTTTGGCACAAAGTCTAGGAGCTTAGTTAAAGACTTGAAAATTTGCACATTTGGTAATATTAGTATTAATATTAAATGTGACAATTTTCGGACGAATAGGACCACGCCTAACCCTTCCCATGTGCCCATATTCGACCCAGTTGGCACCGTATAGTTTCCCGACCTTGCCTGATAGCACTAGTCAACACGAAATTTAGGCTGTGGCCCAAAATGACTTTTTCTTATAGATTTCGTGGCTTAACATTTTTTAACGAATTATGGTTTTATAGTTTTTTTTTCTTTAATTTTTTAAATGTTTTTTTTCAGAGGTAGTGCTTTTATTTTTCACATAACTTAAGTATCTTATATCTGGTTGCATAGAACTTTGCAGTGTTGAAAAGCTGACAAAGCTATATAGCTATAAATTCGACCCAGACACTTTGTATCTGCAGCTTAACGCCTGAAAGATATTAAGCTTTCAAATTAAAATTTCATCATTTTTTGCGGTATTTTTTTTCGAAATTTTGATTTTAAAAACTCGGGAAAAGTAAAAAAAAAAATAATTCTTGGCATGCATTTTTAGTTTTAGATAGACGCATTAATTAGGCGTGGTTTAAGGTATTATATTAAGATAATTGAATTATCAACTTAGTGACAGAGCTTTTTTGGAAGAAAAAAATAATTTATGCAAAAGGCAGAGTTTCAAACAGAGGTTTTCGATTTTCAAAATTCATAACTTTTCAGATCGAAAAAATAAACCAGAACTCTATGTGGAAAGTATTTATTCAATTAAATTTAATTTAATTTTAAAGGTTATGATAATCAGAATGAATTGTATTTATATAATAGCTTGCATTGCTGAAATTTCTACTTTTCAGACTATGTAACCTATTTTATAATTTACCCTGTTTTTGTTCGTTTTTGCCAACATAAAATTCATTACATCAGGGCGATGCGATCGTTTTTGCAGGGCTTCACGACGAAACTCACATGAAATTTTCTCCAAATCGGGCAAAAACGGTCAAGGGAGACATATTAATTTTTAATCTGCATACTTTAGTGAACAATTAAACGTTGTTATCTCGATCCTACCTCGTACTTCACGAAAGTTTTACTAAAGACAAAATAGCTACATTTGTTAGATTGTGATGTATATGTACAACATATATGTAGCACATAGAGTATATATCACATTTGCGACTGACATTTAATCGAGCTCAAAATGTATGAATTTTGCAACGTGTTTTGAGTAAGCGAGCCACTGTGCGCCGGCGTGCAACTGTGCAACTATGAGTACAACGAACAACAAAATCAAAATGAGAATCGAAAAATGTAAACCGCTGCAAATTGCTTGTAGGCAACGCAGACGACAACGAAAACGTTGGCGACGGATGAGAAAATGGAAAAAGAAAATAATGGGTGAAACGAAAGTGGGACTTGTCCAACACGAAGTGGGAATGCCCTGTCCTGCCCTGCCCTGCCCTGGACAAGGAAGGGATGGGAAGAGAAGGGTGTTGCCTTGATATACCATTGATATCTGATATTCTAGTTTATCATTGTGAAACATATTAAATAAATAATAAATTTTCAATTTTCAATTTTAATTGCCGCAAAAATGACCGACAAAGAAAAAGATACACATGGGAGGGAGGCTGTGCTTTAGTCAGGAGAGGAGAGGAGAGGAGAAGGGAGTCCCAGTCCCAGTCCCATTAGGTATCTGAAAAACTCACTTCACAGCCAGCTAAACACAAAAGCAAAATAAATATTGCTACAAATATTGCTAACCATTTTATAATTTGCTAAAATCAGTGACAAAATATCCAATTTTGAGTTGAAACAAAGTGAACGAATTGGGGATGTGTGCATGGATTTGTGTGTGTTCGCAGCACGTTGATGTGATGCAGTTTTCCTTTGCACTTTTCCTTGTTCAAATTGGCATTCCTTACGCGGGGTCCCTTTGTGACATTGCCAGCAGCAGGTGGGAGGGAATGCTGTTGGGCAAAAGAAAAAAGATTGTGCAATAAATCCAAATAAATTCGAATCAAATTGCAGAAACCGAAAAAGTCAAGAAACACACAGAGATTTGATTAATTTTGTGTATTTCATGATATATACCAGATTTTTAGTTACTAAAAATAATAGGACAAAGGAGCAAATTCCAGTCCGCAGATTGATTTGGCTTCGATTGCAGTGCAGTGAGTCGGTGGATATACCCCGCGTAAGGATGCTAGTTTCAACAAGGAAAAGTGCAAAGGAAAACTGCATCACATCAACGTGGTGTGAACACACAAATACACGTGCACACACACATACATATATAGACATCCCCATCCACCTATACGCCCCACTACCCTCCTCCCTCCTACACAGAGACAGTCGAGAAAAACAGGGTGAAGGACAATGCGATGCGTGCATAACGCTTATTGAAATAGTTCTGAAGTGAGTTCGACGCTGGCGTCGTTGACGACCTCATCCTCATCCTTAGCGTCGACGTCGGCTTGCCAAATGGGCCTTCGAATTGGATTGGTTCTGAAGAAGGGCCCGGAGAAGATGACGTAGAGCCAAGAGTCCAAATCTCACCAACGTAGGCAGGCAGCTTACAGGCAGGCAGCCAGGCAGGCAGCCAGGCAGGCAGGCGGAGGCCATTCCCAGCCTTGTCAGGCAGCGCTAGATCTTGAGAGGGCCTCCGAAGAGAGACAAAGAGAGGGGCATTAGTCGGGCAATCCGTAATCCTGCGCGGGCTTAAGAAACCAAAAGATATAAGGACTCGCCGTCCAAGGCCCAGCACCAGAGCAGGTCCTCCTTCGCCACGGCGGAGGATTTCATGCGTGACAGTCGCAAAATGCTGGGAAGCATGGCCAAAGGGGAGGGAGTGGAGTCGTGGAGTCACGGAGTCACGACCACGGCCCCCATGAAGCTTAGGCACCAGATGGCGCCGCACCGTGTCGCCGTTATATCAGTGCAGCGGCAGATTCCCGAATCCTGCCGATCGACCAGCACACGACCAGCACTTTCCCACTATTCGCTGGTTGAATGCGACGTTCAACCCCGATTGAAAGCCTCGTTCAACGACTATAAAAGGCGCTGCGCCAGCCATTTCAGCTCAGTTACCCGTCAGGACCCGAAGCACACAGGCGTACCCAATCACTGAAAGCAGCCAAAACCAGCTAAAGCAATAGCAGAATCAGAATCAGAAGCAACAGGACCTGAAGCCAAGGCCACAGACAGCTAACCAGACCCAGAACCAGAACCATCTACAGAATAAGTTCAACAAGCAGAAATCATCATCTAAGCAACCGTCCTAAGCTCCTCGTCCCGGACAACAGTCTCTGCAATCAGCAGCGACAGCAACGTCAACGGCAACAGATTTCAAATCCTAACCAACTATATAAATTTTTTTTAAATTTTTTCTGGTGATTTTAGCTGAAATATTTTGAGGCAATTGAAAAGTGCAAACAGACAGACAGTGTAGTTGAAAGTGTAGAAAGTTTCTGCGCGCGTGGGAAGTCGGAACCGACCAAGTGCTTCGATTGATTTCGCATCTTGAATTTTGGTGCGAAAGAACAGTCGCTAGAGGTTGAAGCAAGGATGATTATGGTAATCGTTGTCTTGGCCGCCAGTGTTCTTATCTTCCTGGGCACCTGCATCTATATGACGTGTACTGTGTGCTGACTAGACGGATCGTCCCCGGAGCGGCCTTGACCGACAGTACGACCAGAGTCTCCGCCGATACCACGACGACCAATACGCATACCACCGCCACCACCATTGCCACCATTGCCACCATTGCCACCATTACCACCACCGACGGTGATCCACGTTTAAGTGCAGATTTATGTTTTTCGTATATCCTATCTTTTTTATGCCCATGAAGCTGCCTCTGAGTCCCCGCAACTCAGACAAAATAACCACCGAAACAATAGAAGAGTCACTGCCAAGAAGCGACGACGAAGAGCTAGCTGCAACAACGACAACAACAACTGCCAAAGCCACAACAACAACAACTGCCAAACCGAAGCGTTCGAAGAAAAGTTCAAAGAAAAGCGGCGAAAATATAATACGTTCAAATAAGTTATACTTTCTTCTTTCCAAGCACCAAAGAGCACAGCATAGTGCAGCACTGCCAGCCAACAGCAGCAGCAACAACAGCAACAGCAGCAGCAACAACAACGTGTTGCAACATCGACAACACCAGAGAACAACACAACAGTAACAGTAACAGTAACAGAGCCGAGCCGAGCAGAGCAGAGCAGCAGCCGACTGCGACGTGAGCGTCATTGGTGCCCTTCGCACGCCTCTGTGGGTAAGTTGACATTTCATTTTGAGTGCATTCCGCTTTTTGCCCTTACTTTGCCTCGCACTTCCCCCTGCTGAACCCCCGGCCCCCCACGCTCTCCCCGCGGCCACAGTCTCGCCCGCCACAAAAGTTGTTCCTCTGGCGGGTGGCATGGTGGCATAGCATATGTGAATGGATGTTGCTGCGTTGGTGTCGGGGTCAGCACGTTATTACAATTTATCCCCGCGCTAGTTCCGACAACAACGAAGCAGCGCCCGCAGCATCAACAGCAGGGGAGAGGGTAGCCAGATTATGGAACCCCCACCCCTTTTTGTGCCCTTCCTTGCCGACCGATCTTAATAGTATTTCATTATATATTAATACAAATAATAGAATCAAACGATTAAAATTTACCAATAATAATAATAATATAATACTTGGAATTTAGAGCTAATAAAGGTACATAGAGTAGGGGGAACAGGCATTGGAAAGATTAAGATCCTGCCTCTTCCTTTTTACTGATACTGATACTTACTCAGCTCTGCTGCTACACTGCCCTGCTGCATTTAGTGGCAACAAAAGTTGCGCAAAACACACAACATTTGTGCTTCCTCATTTGACTAGCAATAAAGCCAAAGCCAAAGCCAGAGCCAGAGCCGATTCGGATTTGGCTATTTCATAGAGAGTGAAATTTATTTTCAGCCACTCACCACGGTGAGTCAGAGCTTAAATGACTATCAGCGGTATCAGCTGGCTGCAGTTATGGGGCGGTCCGGCGGTAAGGCAGCCACGCATTCCGTCCCGAAGGACACACACTTTGCATGTTTATCTCGGGAAGCGAGACGCCCCAAATCTTGTGGGCAAGTGCCAGTATTTCCAGCAAGCAATTTCGATTGCTGCCAAGCGACAACGTTAACGGGTCATGACAATTTATGGCCAAAGTTGATGCTGCTGTGCCTATAAATGTAAATTTAAATTGAAAATTAATCGGGGACAGTCAGTGACGTTTTGCGATAAGTTTTCGGTTAAAAACAGTAATCAGATGGGCGAAATTATTAAAAAAAAAAAGAAAAGGGCTCGCAGGCAGGCAATGGACTTGTGGAGCCTCTAGGTTTTAATTAAAAGCTTACTTGGAGCAGCGAAAAAGTTAAGTGAAACGATGAAAACGTAATGGAAAGCAAACACTGCCGAAAAGAGTCCTTGAAGCTGTTGCCCAAAAGGTGGACAGCAAACAGAAAACAGCATCAGCAGCGACCATTTTCTGTCAGGCAAATTAAAAACTCAATGGTTGGAAAGGACACACATGGGTAGGAGAATGTCCAAGGGACACCTAAACGACGTCAGCCAGCAGATACCAAAAGCTCCACCATGTACGAGCAGTAGGTACGAGAATGTGGCTCATGAGAGTGGGAGTGGCATTAGAAGCACTTGATGAGACTTTCCATCTTCTGTCACTTGCAAATCCAACTTTGTATCTCCCTTCCCTTCCCTTGCCCTCACCCTTCCCCTCCTCTTTCATGTGCAATCTTTGACAAATATGCAACAGAGAAACTTGAATGAATCGAGCCAGTAATCTGCTTATATTTAGAGCGTCCAGCTGATTCAAAATGCAGATAATCTTCCACTCTATGCTTTTCAATTATATGTTTTTATACTCGTATAGTATGGGGAGCTTTCCAATCATAGACAGACAGATTTAAATTTGCAACAGTGGCACAAATGATGTCATCTCGAATATGTATATTCAAAGTGTGATGGCCAGAAAGGGGACTAATTGAGACCATCATATGGCTGAGCGTCTTTCATTATGCATGTGTGTATTTAGCATTAGGCAGAAGCATATTTTAGATGTAGCCTCACAGTAGGCTGCAGATTCTGGCTCAAAATGAATGACAACAATGAATATTAATGGAATGGAAAGTGGATAGTGGAATAAACGCAAAAGTTTCCATGGTTTCATATCAGAATATGAGAATATATATTTGAGCAGAAAATTGCACAATGTGTTCTACTGTGCCCTGGCCTCGGTCAGGTCTGATGCTTGATGCTTCTGGGGAATCTATATAAACTTTGTCTTGAGTTGATTTCCTTTTACATTGCTTTATTTTTCCAAAGCAAAACTTAATTTGTGGGCATGTATGTGTGTGTGTGTGTGTGTGTGTGTTTCCTGGCTGTCAGCGCCCTCTTTTTGCCCCCTCGGATGTCATTTGGGCCATATAATTTTGTGGGTGAATGCTGAAGGCCCGAGTCCAGTCCGCGTCGAAAGTCCCTATGCCTGGCTCCAAGGGCCACCCACAGACACACCACGAACAGCTTGCAACTAGAGCCAAACACACGCTCTTCGACACACACAGATATTCATCTATGTCGCACATCGTTAGGCGCTGCCAGTTTGACTTAATTTGCGTTAAACTTTTTTGTTAAACATATCATTCGCTTGGCAGGCGGCCACCAGCCAGCCAGCCAGAAGGGGGCGGGGGGGCCAGAGCCCCGAAAGAAAATGGCCGAATGGGGAGCGGAAAGCGGAAAATGTAAACAAAGGCATTAATCATGCCGGAACGCATGCGGCAGAGGCAGAGGCAGAAGCAGAGGCAAAGATAGAGATAGATGGATCGCTGGCACAAGGCCCAGAGCCCTGCTACAGAGCGAGACAGCCCTAGCCCTTCGATTAAGCCCTACATCGTGTGCTTCGGGTTGCGCTACATATTGAGTGGAAGATAAACAGCCAAAGTCAGTAAGCGAGCTAGCTATCTCCCTTCACCCATGTGCGGAGAGCATGTGTTTGTCTAAATGACAAACTGCTGTTTGTTAACCGAATAAAATGAAAAAAATACGAGCAACAGCAGCAACAGCAGCCGCCGCCGCAGCAGCAGAAAGAACCAAACTAAAAAACCAGCAAAATGTAAAACAAATCCGGAGCACAGACATCCCATCCCCACAGAGGGATGGATGGGTGGGTGGGTTGGTTTGGTTTGGTTTGGTTGAACCACAACCGATCCGGTCTCTATTCAGTTGCCGGGCAAAACTAAACCGCAATAACTGTAAGTGCTCGGCAAACAGCAGAAGCCAGAGCCCAGAACCCAGCACCCAGCACCCAGCACCCAAAAGCACAGGCAGTGAAAGGCACCAAAAAAAACAAAAAAAAACTAACAAGCGACAGTTGACAGTCCACACCCACACACCCACACAACGAAAAACCCACACAGTCCACACCACACTATTAGATCCAGCTCCAGAGCGAGCAGTCGTGTGTGTCGGACTGGTCTGGTTGGGTCTGGCGAATTATTATGATAATCGCAGGCATAAATTATGCTCAACCTCCATCGCCATCGCCAGATTCAGACTGAGATCCAGAATTCTGAATTCTGAATCAGACTGAGACTGGGATTTAGTGGAGATGACACAGAGAGCTCTTTGCAGGTGTCTTCGCTGGGAAGCCGCCGTTTGAAGAACCCTCAGAAGTCCCACATTCACACGCTCTCACACGCCACAGACCCCCATCCTTGCCCAAGCAACAGTCAGTCACGGATTCAGAGTGCTTTTTTGTTTTGCCTTGGGGAAATTAAGTTTGTGTCATGTTTGTGTCACCGCACCGCACACCGCACCAAGCTCGGCGACGGACAGGGACACGACACGACACGGCACACGGTGCGTATGCAAATGGTGAACGCAAAAAGTGTTGCATACTTTTGGGTATATGCACAGTGCACAGTGCACTTGCACTGCTTGCTTTTGCTTCTTGCTGCCTGCTGCTAATGCCAATCGAATTCGAAATCGGAAATGAGACGAATTAAATTTCCAAGACTCGCAGGACTATCAGCTGTTGCCTTTTGTTCGGGCTTTTGGTGGGCTATGATTCGGGCATTTATTGGAAAATATTATAGGTACGTACAATATTTCTTCTGGCTGTCAACGTTGATTTAAGCGCTTAGCGGGAGCTGCCAACTGCTGGCAGTACTGTGCGCTGTGGGCTGTGGGCTGTGGGCGTGCAAATAACACGCACCTGTTGCCACACGTCAATAATGTGGCACACACACATACAATACACTGTGACAGGTGGTAGAGCCATGGTCCGGCTGTCGCATAATAAAATATCGAAATAATAATACGAAATTTCATTACACACATTATTCTTAGAACACGTTCTCTTCAATCTCTTCCATCTTCTTTTCTTATCTTTTTTTTTGTTTGATAATAGATACTAGCAATTTATTACAAACGAAAACTGCCACAATAATTCGATCCAACGATTTTATTTCGATAAAAATTCGAAGAAGTTTACAGATACAACAGATTAATTACCAAGAAGAATATAAGTTACCAAGAAGCAAAAGAGTTACTAAGCAGCTGAACTTTGAAGCTACTTTGAGGTAACTAAGGAAGAAAACACCAGGAAGGTTTTCCATCAAGCACATCAAGCACAAGCAAACAGGTGAGTGGCACTCTGCACCCTCAAGCGGCAACTAAAAAATTATTTAAGGAAAGCAACGGCCACAGATTCCAAACTGGCGATAGCTGGAGAAAGAGAATTGTGTCCCTGGGAAATATGTGCTTTATTTTTGTGCTCATTGCCAACTTGTTTACGGCCCGCAATTATTTCCAGCATTTTGCTTTTACGCTTTCACAGGCTGCTTTTCAATTTTTGTTGATTTGTTTGTGCTGCGTGCCTGCAATCAAAGCCTCGATTGTTACGCCATCTCTCCTTCACTTCTCTCTCTTAGTCCCCTCGCCGTTGTGTGTTTTTCTTTTGAGCTTTGTTTTTATCGCACTGTAGTACAAGTGAACGCTTCCGTTTCCGCTAGACGCGTCACAGTTGTTTTTCCCTTTCCCTTTCCCTTCTCCTTGTCCCTTGTCCCTAGTCCCTTTTCCCTCGCCCTATTTAAATTACTGGCATTGAAAAGGCATTCCATTTCCATTTCCATTCGTTCGTCGCAGTACCAGTAAAAGTCCCATGCAGTATCAGTCATTGCCATAGTGCCATCTCATTGCCGTATGCTCTGGCTAGAGCAAACCATCTTGTGCTCTGGTCTTGCTCTGGTGTTTTGTTGGGTTCGCTTCACTTACACAAATTAAACTCGATGCTCAACAGCAAAACAACAACAACAACAACAACAACAACAACAACAATGATAACGAGGCTATACCACACCGAGGAGGATCCCGCCTACTGCTCATTTATCTGGGGGTCCAATCTCAGCAGCACCACAGATGTTCTGGACGGAGCTGCCAATGCCACGCCCGTCTTTGGCACCGACTTGCGGGATGACATCTATCGGGTAAGTCTCTACCATTCCCACTCCCACTCCCACTCCCACCACAGATGGGGCAAATGTTGGTTCCTCAATCAAATGGCAATTGAGCTGAAGATATATTCGCATGACATTACCACTGCCTTGGGTCAGCTTGCATAACTCTTCTCCGAGGCGAGGCTGTTCGTTCCCGCTGTAGTTCGCCCTCTGCTCTGTTTAGGACTGCCTGCTGCGAGTGAAAACTGTTGGCTACTTTTAGGCGCCACGGGGTTCTGAAATGCTTTTTAGTTAAACAGCAGGCAGAAGGAGGAGCATGGAGCGGCATGGAGGAGCAAGTAGCAGCAAGGAGAAACAGGGCCCCGAGGGAAAAGCTTATTTCATGGCACAGCACGCTCTATACTCTGAACGAACCCATTCTGAATGCTGGTTGCAAAAGTTCCTGCCTGCCCCCTTGCTGCTCTCGAAGACAGGCAGAAGCTGCTCTGTACACAACTTTGGCTCGAGGCGACCATGGGATGGGTAAAGGAGAAACAGAGATAGAACCAAAAGGAAAACAAAAGCCAAAGCCAAAGCCATGTAAGAGGGAATGCGGGGGGAAGGGAGGGTATGGGGGGGGTATACGTGTGTGCATAAAAAGTCACAAAAATAATAGTGTCAAGTCGACTATTGAATTTTTATCTGTGGCACTTCATGCCCATCCAAGATACAAAAGGAGCAGCTCAGCTTTCTGACACAAAAAGGAACTACGGAAAGCGGGGAAATACGAGTAGAGGGACGGACAGCGTGGCAGATGATTAATGAGCTTTTCTCCTTTCTTTATAAGCGACTCGAGTATATGTATGTATTTCTGTTTACCTCTTCTCACAGGATGTGGAGGATCCGCGCACGCAAACCCTCCGCGAGTACTGCTACGGGATTCTGCTGCCCATTATCTGTGCCATGGGCATCATTGGCAATGTTCTCAATCTAATTGTGCTCACCCGTCGCAACATGCGCGGCACCGCCTACATCTATATGCGGGGTAAGTAGCCATCAGAGTCCGGAATCCACCAGGAGACACTCGTATGTCTTCGCACCCCAAAAAACACATTGAATCCCACCCAGCTCCATTGGGATTCTTCTCGAAAATGAATGGGAAGACGGTGACTGTTGACTGTTTACTGTTGACTGATTGCCCAATTGAGTTTGTTCCTTTTGAGAATGTGTACCAATATTGGCACGCTCCTGCCGTCCTGCCGTCCTGCACTCCCCTCGGCCCTCCCCCCCCTGCCATCACATCCATTGTGCTGTAGAATTTATTCATTAACATAACCTCGCGACGATTTCTGATGAAATACTCGGCATACCCACAAGTAGGCAAGTAGCAGTAATGTGTACGCGTTTCTTGCCCGCCCTCCCCTTCGCTAACCACATGCGCACATACATGCACACATACATGCACACATATGTGTGTGTGTAGTTGAGCCTGCTGCTTGTGCATGTGTGCGCGCATATTCGTGGCTGTGGCTGTGGCAGGCTCATTGGAAGTTATTTCATTAGATGAGACTGGTTAACCCCGTCGAAATTTATGCAAATCCGCAAAGCCTGCCAGGGCAGCGCCCAACAATGACAATGTTCGGTATTGCACAGAATGTCAACTCTAGCATTAGATGCCCGCCTGCTTTGTGGCACTTTAATTGATAAATGAGCTCTCGCTGCTCTTAGCTCTCACTCTCCCCCTCACGCTCACTCTCACTGTGCAGGCAGAAACGTGAGAAACGCAACTTTGTCAACGCCGCCTATTAGCCAGTTTTTAGCCTCGACTATAATTCATTCAAGACGGCCGAAAAAGAATGCTGCAAGGCGAGAGGCGGAGCCAATGACTACGCAGACGACTCACTTTACTGGGAAAACAATTTAGCAACAAAACAACAAAGAAGGTGTCCAAGGCAAAGCCGAAGCTGCAAGCACTCTAGGCAAATGCCATGCCAAGAAATGGTAGTGTATAAGATGGCCAGAGGTATATGTGACCCAATAAAAAGGGCGTAGTAAGCGGTTGACCGAGGGACCAAGGAAAGTAAGTCCCCTGAAAATGTGATAAAAATATTTAAAAAGCTTAAATTGTAATTCGAATTCGAATGCTATGGCAGCATAATTGATTGCCCTTTCCACTGCCCTACAGCCAGAGAAAACCACGAATCACAGGAGCCAGGACATAGTCAAATAGAGTAGAGTAAAGTGGAGCAGAGAAAAGAGAACAGAGAAATGAAAAAGGCAGAAATGGAGATATGAAAAAGTGGAGAAGTCGAGAAGAAAAGCAGAGAGAAATGGAGACATGCAATATGTATCTCGCCATAGTTTCAGCATTGGTGGCAGCAAGTGGCAGCCAGTAAATAAAAGTTGTGAAGAGCTGTCGCATGGCTAGGGGTAATAATAACCGAAATCAGAGCAAGTTCTATCACTCCGCACTGCCCAGAAGTGGCAGGAGTCTCCCCTGTGGCCGACCAGCTCATTTTATTGAAATAAAAGACACAAATATTTTGCAGCTCGCAGCTCGCAGCTCACAGCTCACCAGCCGACGCGGCTGTTTCCCCATTTAGTTAATTAGAGGTTATTGCCTTTTGCCACCAAATGTTGGGCTCTTCCTCCCTCTCTGATTGGCTGTACATATGTATATACATGTATGTATGCATGTGTGTTGGTGTCGGCATGCTGGGCTGCACCCACCTGTGTGCGTTAACCAAAACTTATGACAATATGAGAGTAAAGAAAGAAGCCATAGAGTCACAAGAAATTTCCATCTTCTCTTCATGAAGATCCTTGATCTTTAACGAGCAAAATCACTTGTCAGCCCCAGACCTTTGAGTCACATTTGCGGACATAATAGGACCTGCCTGTTGTTAGCAGACAAACACCAGATATTTTTATTTTTTATTTGGCCTGTCCACTTGCCAAATAAATCAGAAAGAAAGGCGGAGTGGAGTGGAGTGGAGTGGAGTGGGTTGTGCTGGGCTGGGCTGGGCTGGGCTGGCAGGCTGTGAGGCAGCAGGATTCAGCCTGCTGCAGAAACTGAATCTAGGAATGTGATGGCCGGACACTTGTCAGGCTAAGCACAAACAAAACTAACATTTATATTAATACGTGCCTGTACCCAATTATATGCCCATTATGATGAGAGGGTGCTGCCCCCACTGCCCCCACTGCCACCACTTTGTGTGTGTGTGTTCTGTGCTGTGCGTGTTGGAGCCGGGATGTCAAATAGTCAAACATTACGCTCATTACAAGTGTACACAGCTATTCGAACATACCGGAATGGAGCAGTAGAGTAGATCTGAGCACACAACAAAACAGAACAAAACAGAACAAAACAGACAGACGCTGCTCATACATGATATTAGTAATAATGTAATTTTATGCTCATACATAAAAATAATAATAATAAATCAATATAAAAACAAACATTCTCAGCCACACACACACACATACACTCGCACACTCGCACATCAAGTGCGGCAAAAGTTATTGAAAATAAAAAGGACAAAAGCAAACCGGAAAGGAAAGCCATTCATTTCATTCACTCACTCAACAGTCGATGGATGCCTCTGTGCGAGTATGTGTGTAAGTCTATACATGAGTATGTGTGTGTGTGTGTGTGTGTGTGTTCGCGATTGCTTCCTGCTGCCATAAAGGAAATTTTTACAGATTTCAGCCAAGCTAATCCCCATTGTTTTTCTCATTGCCGCCTGCCTCGCTCTCGCTTTGCTCACCCCCGCAGCATACTCGGCCGCAGCACTTCTGGCGATTCTCTTTGCTATACCCTTCGGCATCCGTATGCAGGTCCACAAGGATCGGGGCCAGTGGGAGGAGTTCGGCCCCGCCTTTTACACGGCTCACCTGGAACTTTACTTGGGCAACGGGTGCTTGGGTGAGTGCTCGCCTGAAGCCCGGCCTGCGCGCACTTTCCGGGCGTGCCTCGATCCACCAAGGCACTAGCGCAACTAACGGAACTGCTTCCTCTCGCAGGTGTGGGCGTGATGATGCTTCTCGTGCTGACACTCGAGCGATATGTCTCGGTATGCCATCCCGGAGTCACGCGCCCCGTCATGGGGCGGCCTGGGTGAGTGGAGCGGCCAATTGCTGGCTATGCAACTATAACCAAATATTATGTAGTAAATTAAAGAACTGATTCTTTGATTACCTGTCACCTCTTCCTCTTCCTCTTCCTCTTCCTGTTTGTTATCCATAGATTGGTAGTATTTCTCACCTCCTTGGTTACCATCATCGTCTACCTGCCGAGCATCTTTCGGGGCGAGCTGATCAAGTGCATTCTCTCCTCGCCCGATGTCTATGTTTATTTACGACGCGATAACACCATCTACCAGCAAACCATGTTCTACAAGGTGTACAAGATCATGCTGGAGATGGTCTTCAAGCTGATTCCGACCATGGTGATTGGTGGACTGAACCTGCAGATAATGATTGTATACCGACAGACATGCGAACGCCGCCGCCAAATGGTTTTGACCCGGGCCAACTCGAACTTCCACAAGGACGATGACCCGAGGAAGTTTGCGGAGGAGCGCCGCTTATTTCTTCTTCTGGGTAGCACATCGATCCTGTTCCTGGTCTGCGTTTCGCCGATGGCCATACTCCACATGACCATCGCCTCGGAGGTGTATCCGAGCTTCCCGTTTCAGGTGTTCCGTGCCAGTGCCAATCTCATGGAGCTGATCAACTACTCGCTGACCTTCTACATCTACTGCCTCTTCAGCGAGGACTTCCGCAACACACTCTTCCGCACGTTCAAGTGGCCCTGGCTGAAGGGACAGTTCTGCCACCAGGTGGACCTGGAGGTGAGTGCTAGCCCCCCGGCGACGGCGGCCACAGCTGCTGCTGCTGCTGCTGCTGCTGCTGCTCCAGCCCAAGCAGGCAACAGTTCTAATCCTACTACTACTGTCACTATACCTATACCTATACCCAAACGCATGCAACGATTGCCACCACCACCAAATCCGACTCGCCACCCACATCACTCAGCCCGTCCAGACCGAAAGGGGCATGCCCATGGTGCACTTCGCTAAGGTGACCAAGCATCCCCATTTCAACCGCAATAAAACAGAAACCACCACATCGAGCATTGATCTGGGACGCTCCACCAGCATCTAGCCCCGACTGAATAGCCAATCCCACATGACCACCACCATCGTTTAAGCACCCAAGCATACCATCATCTATCCCGCAGACAGCACCCCTTCACCACGCTCTACCTATACGCTCCACACTCCAAGATCGAGCCCGAGCCCGAGTCCGAGCCCGAGTCCGAGTCTGACCTGACTTACCCGTCAATCACATAAGCCACTAAGCTTGAATCTTCAATAACGATTTGAATGTCTAGATGTCTATTAATAAGTCCATCTTAGTAACATTTATATATGTACATATGTGTAATACATATATGTATATAGATACATATTATGTGCACACAGACACACTCATTTTTTTGGTAGTGATCCCTCAGTAGTTCTAGGCTAAGTGAAAAGTAATTGCAAAAAAACAAAAAATATATATAAATGTTCACGCATACATACTCGTAAATGGCATTCCACACACACCCCCAAAAAGAAGTTTAGGGAAGAGTTTAGGCATTATCCATTATCGTATGGGGTATTTATCGGTAGAGTATATTCACTTGGAAGCTTCATCGATGCAATAGGGAGAGAAGCATACGAGCTTAAGCACAGGATAAGCAAACGATTACACAACACACAACACACACATACGATGGTAAGGGAAGATGGGGAGAATAAGTATTCGATACGACATTCGCGAGAGCTTAGCTGCAGACGAACATAAAGAGAGATGAGATAGACAAATGGGAGAATTAAAGACAGAATGGCATAAAGAGCGGGGGAGGCTTCATACATTCTACTATGTATCTTCCATATGGTATACTCGCTTGTGGGATAGAGTATACATATGTACGTGTCTTCCTGTGGGGATGAAGAAAGTAATAAATACAAGATTGCTCGAGCTTAGGTGCAGAAAAATCTGATCGGTATTCAGGATTCAGTTAGAAACGATACTTGGCATTAAAAATTATTATTTTTATGTTAAAAAATAAAGTGATAAGTGAAAATACGATTTTCGGAATGAAATTATAAATGTTATCTTAAAGATAGTTTATTTAGACGTTTAGAATAGAATATATGTGTGTGTGGAAGGCGCTAAGAACTTGCTATAGATTCATTTCACAAATCCACTCAGACATCCCCACTCCAGACATAACATACGAGCAAATAAAAAGGAAATACATGCAGAGAATCATACGATGATGCATACGATACGATACACACATACAATACTAAACCATAAAGTATACTTATCTATAAATGTCTAAGTCAATATTATAAGTAATCGATATTGGTGTGAAACGCGTTTTTATGTATACACTTGTCTAACTCTAAGATAAGATATATGTATGTGCATGTACATATATACAACTACACGCATATTGTACTCTAAATTAGCTCTAAATTTGATCTAAGTTAGATAGTTCAGTGACAACAGCGAGGAGAGATTCGGGGGTTGAGCTCAGAGCCCGGCCTAGTCCCCGATTGAGGTTTCCTTTTCATTAATTTGTGTCAGTCTTATGGGAATACGAGTATTGCGAATATGCGTATTCTCCACCTTTACATGCCCTTGCTCCACGAAAACCAAACTAAATGTGTGTACCTCCTATAACCCTCCTTACTGCTATAAAATGTCTATTTACATACGAGTACAGTAGCCCCAAGCATTTAGGATACCAATAGCGGATTGCGTATGGCGGATGGCGGATCCCTCGGCTAAGGTACCAAATTGCACGACATAAATATTAACGTAAATATACAAAAGTAATTCAATATGAAAGGTATCTAAAGAGCATACAAAATATTCAGTAATTCAGTAATCAATCAGATGCATACATAACCATAACCTAACCATAACCATAGCTAATCCTCTGAATGGAGTGCCAATGTCACTCGTCTGACAGCAACTCCTAGCAAAATCACCCAAAATGAAAATTCAACCGAAACTCGAATTTTGAGCGCAAAATGTTGGCATTTAAGAAGTAAGAGCAGAAATGGGAGAGGAACGAATGAGTGGGAGTTTGTAGGAACTGCTTGCCATTCAGGGGAACAATTACAAATATGAATTAAAATAAAATAAAATAGTAAAATTTTAATTAAAAAAATACATCGTGTTCACATTCCACTTTAAAAAATAAAAAAATAAAAAATTAAACATAGCGAATACATAATATACATATGTATGGGAAGCTCGTGCATCTTTCACATACTCGTCCATCTATGGTACTTGTGCTAAGGATAAATCATTATTATTTTTACAACTATATTTAACAGCAAAAAAAAAAGGTTATTGTTCGGGGGAAAATGGAAGAGCAGTGCCATCATCACTCAGCAGCAGGAATAATACCGAAATCATTTTTACAGCCTAACCCTAGACTAGTTTAAGTTTTCGAGTCTCTCTCTCTCTCTCTCTCTCTCTCTCGCGTATGGCTATGGCTATGGCCAGCCAGCAGAGTCCTACCATGGGCGCCACACCACCAGTCGCTGCTGCACTAGCTCCGCCAGTTGCCGCTGCTGCTGTCGCTTGCGCTCGAAGATCTGGTGGCGTATCTTCATTAGGATGCTGTCACGTGGCGCCGTGGACGCTGCACCTCTGGCGACCGTGAATGGTGAGTGGGCGTGATGTAGCTGCTCGATGAGATCCATCTCTGGCGCTAAGAGATGCACCTGTTCCCGTTCTCGTTCTCGTTCTCGTTCTTGTTCTGGATCCTCCTGAAGCTCCGCTGTCGGTTCGCTGTCGTATCGTAGCTTGAAGCTTTGGCGCTGCACCAGAAAAAAGTGGGGCTTAGCACACGGCCAGGTAAATTTCAGGAGGTCTTCCTCACCTTTTTGCGCGACGCATTCTCGGCCAGGAAGCGGCAGAGCTGTTGCAACTGCTGCTCAGCCAGCTCCTCCTTGTCGTGATCCCTCTCCTCGCTCCGTACTGGCTCTGGTTTTGGCACCTGCAGGTGATCCTCGAGTCGGCGCTGCTGCTGCTGCTGCTGCTGGCGCTGCTTTATGGCCGCCTGCATTTTGCACTTGGTGGCCGTGCTTAGGCGGAGGTCCATGGTAAGTCCCTGTCCCTGTCCGTGTCCGTGTCGCTGCTGCTGCTGCTGGCGTTGCTGCTTGAGTATTTTATAGATGACGCCCATTGTGGTTCCGGTGCGCATGCACTGCTGCTCACGGTTCTATAGCGCAGAGCTGCTGCACAAAGACTGTCCAAAAATACGCGCAGACTGCTCGTCTTATATCAGTGCTCTCTCCCTCGAATGATCGCTCGCTCTCCCTTCGGGCAGGGGCAGGCGAGCAGCAGACAGAGGCTTTTTTTGAGAGAATCAGTTCCAAAATCGAAAGATTAAAAATAAAACATAACGCCCATGTGTTCATGTGTCCATGTGTGTTATGTGTGTGTGTGTGCTGCATATTGCGCGCCAAACTTCAAGTCCGCATTATGAGACATTGCTCAAGTGGAGTTCTATTTCTGCTCTCTGCTCTCAGTGCCTTTTAGCAACACATGTGGCAGCCTCAACAGCATCAGCAGCAGCAGCAGCAGCAGCAGCAGCAGAGGCACTACTTGCCCCAAAAATAGATTTGGTCTCTCACACAGCTGCAATACTTTCGCTGCACCGACTCCTCCTCGCATGTGGCCGACTCACACTCTCAGTCACAGTCAAAGTCAAAGTCCCATTTCCATTTCCATTTCCATCTTTATCTTTATCTCCAATTCCATGTCCATGTCCATTCCCAAATCTTAAATCGAATATTTGGTCCCGGCATTCAAAAGCCAGAAACAGCATTTTTTGGCGCCTGTTTCCCTTTGGAAGGGTATGCCCGCCCTGGCCTCCTGACTAAGTGAAGAGCTTGGCACTGATCGATCTTCAGCGCTAAGATTCACGCTATCAGAGCTTACATATATGCTTTCGGCTATCAGTTTAAAACTCCTTCCGGCTCAGAGATACTGATCAGTGATCACAGGTGATCACCTTTTGCCTTCATAGCTACTTCAGCAATTAGTTTAGAAGTTTAGATGATAAAAAAAAATGTACTAACAGGAGACTTCAATATTCCCTTCTTCTTTAATATTCCTCTTTCTGTTTCTGTGTAGAGTAGCAGAGATTCTGCTACTTAAATAGCCAGATGAGTTACGAAAACAACGTCACATCCATCGTCATAATCATTGTGCCGAAACATGGGATCGGGAACGGAATAACGGCATACTCGTAGCTATAAATAGCTCCTGGGAAAAACACTTTGCAGGCAGGCACAGGCACAGCCACAGCCACAGGCACTCAAATACAGATACTTCTCTGTGTCTGTGTCTGTATCTATGTGTCTGTGTGTCTGTGTGTCTGTGGCTGTGTCTGTGTCATGGCATGCACTTGAACTCTGCATTCATATGTTGAATGTGCAACGCGACTCGTTTCATGTCCCTGCCCTTGCCCCTGCCACAGCCCCTTCTGCTGCTGTCTCGTACTCGTAATATCACATGCCTCACATGCTTGCGCCTGCGCCTCTGCGTGTCGCCTCCTCTGCTCTGCTCTGCTCAGCTCTGCTCTGCTCTGTTGTTGCTCAAGATGTTTCAGAGTGCACTTAAAGTGCGTTACAATTTGTGTCTATATTTGGCTGCTTGGGAATATCTCGGGGACTACACAAAGTCAGACAAAACAAAAATATGGAGGGAGCACCGATAACGAAGGTTTTTATTAATGCCAGCCAACCCCTTATCCTCAACTGAAATACTTATGTTTAATGAGCAACTTTATTGACTTTTCAGCCCATTGCACGGGCAGGGCCTCTCCTATATATGTGTGTGTGTGTGTGTGTGCCTTTAGCAGAGGATCCCCAATGAAACTGTCTGTTAAAAATGTAATTCTGATATTTCATGGACATGGCAAGCGAAGTCAGCCAGCCCTCCCTTACTTCAGTGCACTATGGACAGAAGGGGTCATCATCTTTTGTTTGGCCGAACCACATTTTTCAGGATCTAGTCCTAGAATCCTGTGGCAGAGCCATTGAGTCCGAGCCCACTTCCTTTCACGTCGGCGCCTGCGCCTGCGCCTGCCTGTGGCTGCATGCCACATGATGCATGCAGCTCAACGCTCAACGCCCAACGCCCAACGCGTTGTTGTGCGCGAAAATCTGTCAATTTTTCCCTGCCACTCGGTGGGGGCCCCATTTCTACCCGAAACCCACTGCGCGATATTTCTCACGCTCCCAGCCCGCGGACCACATTAACCAAAAGATTGAGGGGGAGCCAGCCCAGCCAACAAGTAGTCTTCATCGCTGTTAATGAGCTTCGTGTATTTGGGTGGAGTCTACAGTAATGCCTCTACCCTATAGAGATGTGCATGCTCTTGGCGATGTGTCTCTGCGATGGATGCGATGGACTGCTGACAGTTGCTGTTATTCCTTTTTGTATGAAAATGCCATTCGGAATGGGAGCACCCAATTAATATTTCGGCTTCTTTCTAAGTATCGCCAAATATTTGTTTATTTTCCAAGCTTCCAACTCTTTCTGTGCGCAGTCTCAAATATCTCTGAGCGAGTGTAAATGTTTTTGTTTGCTATTCTTTCACATTCCTTTGGCCGATCCATTCCCTCTAGGCCCACTTCTCTCTCTCTCCTCTCTCGAATGCTGCAACTCCTGGTTCGGGTAGGGTATTAGGACATTCTAAGTTTGCGCACGAGCACAGCCGCAACGACCGAGGGAGGGGCGGGAGCGCTATAAAATGGTTGGGGGGGGGGAGATCAGATGAAATTTCTGTGCGCAACAGAACATGTGTTGTCGCCATCATCCATGCCGCATGCCTCCTGCCTGCTGCCTCCTGCCCTCAGCAATTCACAGTCATGAGTGGCGTTTAAAAGCTGCCACAGAGGGGAAAGAGAGGAATGCCTGCCTCAGCAGTGTTGTGTTCTCTTGCTCGCGTGCAACATGGACCCCAATCGTGGGAAGCTGCGACTTGCCGCAAAAAAAACAAAAGCCACTGCTGCAAAGATCAACTAAGGCATCAGAATCAGAGACTTGGCGGCGCAGTTCCGTTTTATTGAAGATCGACATCGCGCCGCCAACCACCGCCACCACCACCGCCACCACCACAGATGCGCAAACAGAAGCGGCAGATAAAAAATAACATCTAAGCAATTCTTAAGCATAACTATCGTACCAGTAGGCTCTGTCAGGTGACACCAGACCAGTGCCTGGTTGCACGTTGTCGCCATTGGATAAACAGAATGGCGACAGCCGCCATGGCGGTTTACTTTGACACCCCTCAGCCAGCGAGGTGAGATCTACAGTTTCTGGTTACATAAACAGCTGATAAACAGGTGAACGTGGAAAGAAAGTGGCTTGACTGAGCCCAGCTCGCCTAGCTCGGACGGAGACTGACCTTCAGCCACTGAACGCACCTAGGGAAAACGACACGATCTGGGCGGACAGAGCACCTACATATGTCTCTGCCAGGCCCCAGTCCCCAGTCCCCAGTCCGCAGTCCGCTATTGAATATCTATAGAATATCTCCAGTTTAATAAACAAAACTTCCTGGCATCGACAGTTTGTACACCCTTAAATAAGGTAGTCTTCTCTTTTGCTGAATCTTTGCCAAGACCTATGTACATTTGCTTATTATTCGCCTATTTGAACAGTGTGTATAATGATAGTCTCAAAATAGAGTATAAGATACAGATACGGACTATAGTCATACAGCTGACATTGGGTATTATCTGCAAGGGTATTAAACACTCCGGCCTACGAGGCTAGCCTTATTTGCTTGTTATTTTTGTCAATGGAGAATGCAGGCTCGTCGCTGTCAGCGTTAACGCTGCTGTTGCCGTCAGAGTGGCCACCAGAAATTGGAGCTGACTTGAGCGAAAAGCGCCGCGCTCTCGGTTTCTGCCACTGCCACTGCCACTGGCAGTGGCCAGTGCTGTTGCTGCCGAGGCGAACTGCCAGTCAGTCGGTGCAAAAACGGCGTGCAATTCGGAGTCCGAAACAGGGGAACCCCTTGCGAAGTCAATGTATGGTCCAAGCGAGATGAAGCTCAACCAGATACCCAGAGGTGGCTACGGAGAGCAGGGCCTGTCACGCTCCACCGAGTACCGCAAGGTGATGAAGCCGCTGATGGAGCGCAAGCGTCGTGCACGCATTAACCACTGCTTGGACGAGCTGAAGATTATCATCTCGGATCTGACTCACATGGTAGGTAGCCGTCCGTCCATCCGACACAGAATCAGTCCCAGCTGATCATTCTCGGACCATTCTCAAACTCCCCCAGGAGGCCAAGGGGCTGAACAAGTTGGAGAAGGCCGACATCCTGGAGCTGGCGGTGCACCTATTGCAGGAGCAGCGCGCCCATGCCTCATCGCAGCGACTGGAGGCGTCGTACTGGGGCGGCTTCCGACAGTGCGCTAGGCAGGTGTCCAGCTTCCTGCAGCACCACGACAAGACGCTCTGCGACCAGTTCGATGAGTTCATGCAGCAGATCCTGCCGGACAAGCCTGCCCTACCGGAGCCGCCCCTCTGGAGGCCCTGGTAGAACGCACAGAACGCACAAAACAAACTTACAGGATGAGCTCAGGTCGGGTGGATGATAACTGCTCCCCCCCCCCCCTAAGTTAAGCGCTAATATATGTACTTAGTTTAGGCTAAAACTCTCTGTTGACGGATGGGTCTTCCGATCCAATGGATATGCAAATAAAAAATACACTGAAAATGTTGTTTGCTTTTCGGGTTTTCTTTTCGCAGTAATTCCAAAAACTTTTATTATGTGTGTACAAGTGTGTGTGAGGAAGTTTTGATTGTGTGAATGTGAATGTGTTTTTGCGAATCCAAATAAATAGCTAAAAACGACTTTTGTTACTCTAATTTGGCTTCAATTAGAATTGATTTAATTGGTATTAAATATTTGTGTTGCTTAACGCATTTCAATGCTAAATTAAGTATTGCTTATGTTGAATATAATGCACACAAAATTAGGTTGCTTCTGCAGTTCAATCAATATCAATATCAATATCAGTAATCTGTAATCATTAGCGTTGCTAGTAATCGTTAACATGAACATTATCGATGCACATTATCTATATGTAGTACGAGTACGTGTGCAAGTAAGTAGCTTACAAGTACCCAAAAAAAAAACATACATACATGTACATATGTATACGTAGTATTTGAAAAAAATATTATCTCGAGATTACTCTTTAGCTTTCGATTGATTATAAATATTTATTTGTGTGCTCCTGTCGGAGGATTCTGTGTGTCTTAGATTCTAGATTTTGTTTTTTTATTGTTTTGTTTTGTTCTAGTTTTGCTGGAGTTCTTAAAGCCTCCGTCCATCTTATAAATATGTACAATTAATTGTTCACAATAATTTCGAGTTTGAGGTCAAAGTCGAGTGTAAGAAGCGCGAAAATTGATTGTTGATGCATTTTGTTTTCATTTGTTTTTCATTTGTTTTCAGTTTTCTTCACGAAATTGATTTGTATTTGTCGTGAATATGTATAAGATTATTTTAATAAGTATTATATATGTATTTTGTAGATATCGTTTTCTTTATCTGACTCTTATCTGACTCCGGTTTTGAGATTTTTCAATGTTTCAAAGCTGATATAGGACTATAGAAAAAGCATGCAAACATTTGTGTGAAGAACTGCTTGGCATTTTGAAATTTAAATCGTCTCCAACAATAAATATACATATGCAAAAACAATTTGCAAATTTCGCAAGTCAAGTACAAATACGGCATCTAAGTTGTACATATACATACATATGTATATGGCTATGTAAATATGTTCTTTTTGTGTGTATACAGTTATCAATATTTGTTTGTTCGTGTGTGTGTGTGTGTGTGTGTGCATAGATATTTCTATATAAAGATATCTTTCCCTATAGATTGTAATAGATCAAGTAATTCGGGGCTTATGTGGGTCGGTTCTGTGGTGCAAGCAAATCAAAAAATCAAATCATTGTAATTACTACTACAAAGATAAATGCTGATGATACGATAGGATAAATAATACGTCGATTTTGTAGATTTTAATGCAGTTGGAGTATGAGTCAGAGTACAGAGTACAGAGAAAGATTTCTTTACATTGTTGTGTGTTGTTTCTTTTACGATCTAAAGCTGAACCACATATAAAATAGAAATTATTTTAGCATGGTGATTAGAAGGGGTAGAACCGTTTTAGGGTAGAAGAAGAAGAAGCAAAACTTAATCCAACAGCAGCAGTCCGACAAGACCGAAAAAAAAAACACTAACTAATATATAAGAGAGAGATGGAGCGATATACATATAAAGGGAGACGGAGAGAGATTGTCGATGACAGTTCAGGCGATAGTTTTAATAGTAAGGCATTAGTTGGGTTTCCCACTTTGAATGGAATGATATACATATAGTTCAAGCTCTGTGTGGGGGAGATAGGGGGTTTCCATAAATGGTTCAAGTTGATATATTTTTGTGTGTCTCTTATGAGGCATGCGTAAACTGAACTTACGCTAGAGCTAGTCTTGTTTAAATTTATTATATTCTGTGTGTGGCTGTGGCTGATCTAGTATGGATCTAAGGGATGTAATGGGTGATGGCAGCCATTGAATGATTCTCGGCAAAATATTTATGAAGCATTCAGAAGCAGTCAGCATTCAGAAGCAAATATACGTCTATTCCAATATCGTTTATATATAATCAAGATATACATATGTAGCTAGGCTAGTGTATTTGGTTAGTTAGAGAGAGTAATTACTATATTTATGCGTGTGTGTATTTATTTTCGATTATCAACAATTTTGATTATCAACAGTTAGTAGCTGGCTGGCTCGGCAGAGCGCTTGCTCAGCACAAAAGGTTGAAACACACACATTAATAATAATAATAATAACAATAATGGTGGATAATGGATAATAGTGCTATGACATTGAACTTTTCTAACCGACTAGCTGGCAAAAAAAGAGATAGCCTTATGGGAAATGCCGGCAGTCAGAGCGAGAGAAGCTGGCTTCCCAGCGGAGCTGGGAGAACGCGCTGTGGCAGAATAAGTCCATTGTTTTACTTTGCGGATACAATTTTGCTGGCTTGCTGGAAACACACAATTTTGTCTCTCATGCTATTCCTCTCTCTACGCAGACAAATTGGCAAAATCGAATGTCATAACACTATGAGGAACTGGATCTGGAGCAAGAGAAGGAGCGGTGTAAAGCTTCTGCCAAGCGTCTAGGCCAGTAGTAGCATTTTATGTATATGTATGTATTTGTATTTGTATTTGTAGAAGTATAAGTATAAGCATATATACATATTGAGTAATGTACATATACATATTCATATTCATATCCATATAGAGCAGAAGTAGCTGAGCTGAGTTCAAGAGTGCACTCTCACTCTCTCTCTCTCTCCTTTCGCTTTCGCCTTGATTCATAATTATTTTTCAATAAACTTCAACTTATCGATTAGATAGCCATACTTATGCGATATTTATAAATCAATTTAAATGTGTTTTTTCTTTTGTTATTCGAATTTGCATGGCAAGCATTTCAATAAAAATGCCTTGGATAATATTTAATATTTTGTTGCACACATATTTACCTATAAAGGGCTGAAACTGGCTCTCAACCCCGTATATGTATATCTACGTTGTTTTTTTTTTTTTATTTTATAAATATATGTATGTATATAGATTATGAAATATGTTTTTAAAAAAGCGTTTCATTTGACATAAATTGGTGTTCTTTTGTTTGTAATTTTTGTTTCTTGATGAATTTTATAAATTTTTGGCGTCTTTCTTTACAGTTCTGCCTTTTGATAATTGAAATATTTATCCATACCATACCATACAGATCCATACATATATATGTATATAATATCTCAGATATATGTATGCACATGTATTCATAGTCATATTCTGTTAGTTGAAATTTCACTACGCGTTTCACCAGATTTTCTGGTGATCTTTTGTCTGGCGCTTTCCTTGCATCTTTCACGAGTATCAGTGTGTGTGTGTGTTGAGTGGTTGTGCGTGTGCGTGTGTGTAGAGGGGTGTAGAGGGAAGGATTTTCGGTAAAAACATGAGAGTGTGTGTGTGTGTGAGTATCGATTCCAATCGAGATCCACACACATTGCTGTAGTTTCTGCTGTGGATCTTGGGATCTGGGGGGAGGGGATGGGATTGCGTGGAGTTCGTTGTCCCATATCACTGACTAGCTCCTTCCGCTCATTCCCACTGCTGTTCTGCCTCAGCTTCCACTCCCACAATGGACCACCCCAACAATGCTTAACGCAACTACAACTCGTGCGTTTAATCACCACCTAAACTTAACGCCTGGACTATACGTGGATCAGCTTTACTTCCCTCGCGGAACTCCTCGAGTGTGAGGCGGTCGTCATGGTTCTTGTCCATCTGATCAAAGATCTTGTCCACCCGCTTCTGCGGCGTGTTCTCATCCTCCGTCTGCGGCTGCTGGCCCTGCAATCAATCGAGTGTTTAATGTGCTTGATTACCCCATCGTTGAGAAGAGTGAAGAGAAGAGAAAACAACTTACGACCATCTGGTAGATGGCATCCACAATGTTGTACATCTCCTCGCGTGTTATGTAACCGTCGTTGTCCACATCATAGAGACGGAAGGCCCCTGGCAAGAGAATGTAAGGATTATCATTATGGCAGGGTACGAGTGTGTGAGGTGTTTGAATCCAATCAATACAATATTTACAGTGCAGCTTCTCATCCAAATTTCCTCGTGATGTTATGGACAAGGCACGTATGAACTCCTCAAACTCGATGGCTCCATCCTGCAGATAGATAGCACACAAATATTGTAAGAATTACATGCATGAACGTTGCCGAAAGCTAAGCTAAGGAAAGCTTGAGTGGCTGAAAAGCTCTTGTCTCTAAAAGAGCTTTATAGAATGGAGGTTTATGTTTGGTTCTGCGGCAGCAGCTAGAATAAACAGCTTAAATAAACTTTGAAATATTATGGGATGTCTAAATAAAGATAGCAGTGAAATAAAAGACCATTGGCGCACTTTAAAGATATTATATCGCATGAAAGGTATTAATTCATAGATCAGGAATGTGTATAAATTTATGATAGTACACCACTTAGTTCAAAGGATAATCAATTTAACTTTTATTTTTGAATTTTAAAATAAAAGTTACGGAATAACTCTTATTTCAACTTTTAAAATAAAAATCAAAAATAACTCTTATTTTTTATTTATTTAAAAAAATCATAAATAACTATTAATTGTAATTTTATAAATACAAATTAATAATAACCCTTACTTCTAATTTCTATTAAAAAAAAATTAAAAATAAGAATTAAAAATGATTTATAATATATAAATCGTAAATAGAAATTTTTTGCTGAAATATAAATTATAGTTTTATTTACTTAAAATTAGCATTCAGAACTATTATTTGCGGCCCCTGATTATTAGGTATATCTCTTGAAAGCACAGCTTCCGGTTTTCAGATGCTCCGATCCTAAGTTCAATAAAATACTTACATTATTCTCATCGAACACACGAAATACCAAGGAAGCAAATTTGCTGGGGTCTCCATCAGGGAAAAACTGCTTATAGATTTTTATGAAGCCCTAAGGAAAAAACCAACAGATACAGCAGACAGAAGAGAGAGGGAGAGAGAGAGAGAAAAAAAATACAAGTACGTGTTAGACAAGTTAAATATTTGCTATTGGCCCCAAACTCGTACACAATTGCAGTCGAGTGGGTTGGGTTTGGTTTGGTGGGCAAGTCAGAGCAGGACACATAAAATAGCATTAGAGTAAAAATTTCGAAGTTCTCTAGTTAAGTGAAATTAACGACTCCAATGGTTGTGTGTGTGTGTTGAAATGGATGGGGTGGTAGTGATCCTGAGCATGGTATGAGCAAGTGTGAGCTAAGCAAACTGAAATGTACGTTTTTTGTTTTTTTTTTTTGGCTAGGAACTATAACTCTGAAGGAGCACTGAAAAAAAAATATATAAGTATATACTTCCAATTATCAAATCCAATTTATATAGTGAAAAATCAGACGTTAAATTTTAAATATCGCTCAAACACAAATCTTTTTTTTCATGAGCAAAAGTCAGCAGAGCGAGCCCCACCTACCCCCCACACTGGTTCAATTGTAAAAACAAACAAATCGGAGCCGTGCGATTTCACATTTCAATTAACGTACATGTGTACATATGTATTTATATAAGTAAATATACTGCCATGCTTCGGTTATCGGAAATCGCAAAAATTTGCCATAGCCGAAGCATGGCTGATGGCCATCAGCAATAGCATTAGCATTAAGTAATTAAGCTGGATGCTCGTTTTGAGGTAGCTCGAATAGGGAATGCCCCACTAATGGAATGATGTTTATGCGGATGCGGATGGGAATGATGATGTTAATTACGAACTATGATTTCGGGGTGGTTAAACGGTTGGGCTGTACTCACTTGTTCGGTCAGCAAGCCATTCGGACAGTCTTTCAAAAAACCTTTGTGCCTTTTCGTTGGTGTCAGAAGTCAGAGATCGGGATAGCGAATAGCGAATAGCACACAGAGGTCACAGGCAGAGACAGTGGGAAAAAGAAAAGGCAGAACCAGGAGCCAGAGGGAGAGAGAAAAATAAATTAGCATCAGAGAGAGAGAGAAAGAGAGACAGAGATAGGGAGAAAGACAGAAATATAAGTGAACCGAAAAAAAATAAAGAATAAAAGTAAATTTAAAAACCAAAAATAATTTTTGAACGCATAAAAAATGTTTTTCCACAGCTGGATAATTTCGCGACGATACAAAAAATCAATTCTGGAGTGGTTTTAATTTGTAATTTAAATTTCCGTTCGTTTCCAGAGGAAGTGAAAAAGATCGTCTGAGTTAATTAAAAAACTGAAAACTATCAAAAATTTTGTCTTACCATTGACGAATTTCCTTTTCGGTGACTGCAATAAATAGATAAATTCAAGATTAGTTAAGCGATTTCCGGAGATTGAACTGAAGCTCGCACGGGGTTGCGCCTGCAGCTCTCTCTCTCTCAAGCGGCTCTCTGCTTGGGCCAAGTGTCCTGGCGGAGCCGCTGAGTTATTGCAGCTTAGGTTTGCTTGGGCTTAGCTTAGGACACCTCCCAAAGACACATCCCCCATTTCCAATTTCCCATTTCCGACTTTGCTGATGTGAATGCGAGCAGCAGCACAGAGTGCATTGCGTATGAGTAATGTGCAATTGAAATTTATGGCCCAGCGACAGAGAAGTTCTATAAGATGCGAAAGTGTTGCAGCTGCCGCGCGACTTGGCGACTGCACAACTCATTTAATAAATCATTTAATTAACTACGGTTCCATGCCCGCTTCGCCAGCCAGCGCGTCATTCAAGCAGAATAATACGAGTCTACTTTGAGGCGCGTGCGGCACTCTCCTGGCTGAGATGTGAGACAGGACAGTAAAAAGGACAAAGTGAAAAGCACTTTGAAAATTAAAAACAGAAAAATGACATACATAGATGATGGAGATGAGATGTTCATGATGATCTACTCCCGAAAGTGAGACAGACACGTTAACCCCTGCCTAAGTTTTTAGTTCTACACTGAAAATATTTGAGACTCGAGATCGAGTCGTTTGCCAAAAAAATATTATAACTATTCTCTATAAGCTGCTCTTCGGCATCTTCAATCATTTCTCGCAGTGTGCCTTCTGGCACGCAATTGAAATTGCCCGGTCTCGGCCTAGCCGCAGCCTGTATCTGAATAACCAGACATAGCCAGTAACACCCACGACCCGACCCCCTCCCCCACCCACATGACACCGCATCACACCACGCAACCTTTTTAAAAGTCTGCGCACGCCATCGCCACGGCGTTCCAGGGCTAAGTGAGCTCCAAGGAGCGTTATCCTGCCGCTCGTCAGTGGCTGTCGATGTGGGCCCGACAACGACTTCTACATCGGCTAGCTGAATAATACATGTGTAGTGGGTTCCTTTCCTGCAGTACCCCTACCCCCCTACCCTACCTACCCTACTCCTCCACTGCTACCTCCTTTGCTGTACGTATACGTGCATGAGTATATTTGTATAGCGCCGGCAGCAGTAAAGCAAATTAGTTCGCAGCCAGGACGCACTGATACTTAAAGTCCCCCCGAGACCGAGCCAGTTCTGGGGCTCCTCCGTCTGCCCCCAGCTACTCTCGCTCCACGCAGTATGGCACAGAATTTAAGGCTTCCTATGGGTCGAAGCCTTTGATATCCTTGTCGTTGCATCGATCCTCTGGCATATACTCGTGTGCATGCGATGTAGCGGCTCGATCTTGGCCATTCTGTACAACTCAAACATGGCTCAGACATGGCTATACTCGTAATAAATATTTCATTGGCTCTCTCTCTCGATGTTGATGAATAATTTGTAAGTAAAAGTACTCAATTACAAAATACCCTTTGGCTAGGGTATAATAATTTCGATCTAAATGTTTATTTACGCAAGGAGGCATTTCTGCACTCTGCTGCCTTTCAGTTGCCGCATCACGGATCCCTTATCTCCAATCCCAGCTCCTTTCTTATACCAAAAGTGGTTTGTGGCCCGCAGCCTTTATTTAATTTTTTCGTGCTGCCGCAGTGGGCGGAGCTGGGCAGGGGTAGAGGGAGCCATAAAAAAGCGGGCCAAAATTCCTTATTTTTTGTCGGTATTTATTTAATTTAATTTAATTTTAAGCTGATTTAATTTCAACTTTTTCACATACTCGTGTGTATGCACAAACAGCGAAAGGACACAAGAGGGTGAATGTACATACATACATACATATGTATGTACATACGAATGTTTGGGAAAGCAAGGACTTGCCGCGCTGGGTGTGGTTGTGGGTGTGGCCACATGCTAATTAATGAATGGGACCTGGAAAAAGGGCCAAAAACTAACTTTAAATGAGCTGCATGCGGGCTACGTACACACATGAAGGGAATGCGCTGCAGCAGGTGGGGGCAAGCACAGGGCCATGGGGAGTTTGAGCCTTGAAGCAACTCCATACATATATGGGCTCAAATATTTACCAGACTTGATTAGATTCGAACCGAGCCCGAAACCTACACCGATACCCAAGGCATAGGGCAACAAGTAGCCTGTTCCACCTCCTTGAACATCTCAACCTTAACCTGAACACAGGTGGGCTCGCATGTTTCCAACTCACACGTATGAATGTACATATGTACATACATATGTATGTGGCTACCCGCGGCTAACTGCTGATAGCCCCGCACGCAACTGAAACCAAAATGGGAACTTCCAAACACACGCCAGGGGCATGGGACTAGAAAAGCAACTGAATTTGATTATTTTCATGTAAATATCATATTTTGTTCAGAAGTATTAACTTAGCATGCTGAAATGGACCACTGTGCGTGGGTTAGTCGTGTGTGATTGTGTTGTTGCTCTTCGCAGGTACGCTCTACGCCCTACGCACTAACATTGCATTTAGCCCGCTCTCTTGTCGTAGCTTTGTTGTTCCAGCACTCTCTCAATATCATCCAAATCTAAATAACTGTTCTTCCTCTCTCGCTCACGAAACTTACTGTGCAAGATGCTGCATGAGCGACCGAAAAAAGGGTTCTATGGCGCGTGGCTTATCGCTACGCCCCATGTACAGAGGGAGCGCGCGAGCTTTCAATTCTCTTTTCGGCTATGCTTCGTTTTTGACCGCGAACCCGCTGCCCGACAGCTTCGTCTGTTGCATGCATGTGCATGCTTTCGCACAGTGGGGCCCTCGGCCATTTAAGCTTGCTAAATTAATAAGTGCATAGGAGTTCAATAAATTTTTGTCACACTCGCATGGGTGCAGTTGATGGAGCAGTCATTGGATCGATGAATCTTATAGTGTATTCTCCTGTTGATTCGTCAATTTACTGATATGTATAAAAGAAGCCACATAATACGTCACTGAATGAATTACTGAAGCTATTATGGAACAGTTAGATGTGATAGAGTGAGTGCGAGGAGAAAGGAGAAGATACAGTCAGCGATGGCGCCATTAGCAAATTGTACACAATAAATATGTATATATGTACATATGTATGTTTGTGTATTGCTTCTGTCTGTATAGTGGATCGAAATTGAAATGGGAAATGCAGGTTTGGTCTCCAATATACCCTCCTATACACTCCATTCTTACTCGCTCCCCTGCCCTTCATCTACGAGTATAGTCGCCTCGTCGTGCTGGTCTCTGGTTCCTGGCGATGGCTGTGCTTTTATTTGTGCATGTACCCGTTTGATTTCCACTGTTAAGTGACAGGAAAATGTCAGAACGAGATAAGTGCCAGGGGGAAAAAGGAATAGCGAATACGAAAAGGAGCACAACAAGTTCAATAATCATTTCAACATGGAAGTGAGTTTTGAGTGCTGGCCACTGACTGGATGACTGGATGACTGGATGCCAATGCGTACAAAATCGCATGGGAATGGAAGTGTCAGTGGGGATAGCACAGAGCAGCATCCAAGCATCCAAGCATCTAAGCATCCTTTTTTCAACCCCACTCTAAGCACGCCTCCTCGCTGCCTCTATCAGCTGTCTGTTTGCATAGCGGAATGCATGTGCCCAGAGCCAAATGAATGCGGCTGTCATTCAGTGCTGTCAACATTGCAGCAGCGTGTCGCATGCTACAGAGCGTTAATATGGTATCCCCAGGCAGGGCAGGGTCGTGCATTTTAGTTTTATAAGCGATTTGCCCCCAAGTCCCCACATGCCACACTGGGACCACATCCACACCCACACCCACACCACCCTGCTTTCTGCGCTACGACTGTTTACAAAAGCGTAAAACAAACAGAAATTGACATGAAAGCCATGCAAGCTGCCCCAGCCTGCCGCCAAAGGACTGCAAAGGGAGGGAGAAGTGCAAGGGAAAATGGGTGAGGGTAGCATTGGAGCGGAGCAGAGCAGAGCGGAGCGGAGTGGGCATGCGAAAACTAATCAACGGTGCACACACTTCAACGTTGGCTTTTACGAGTATACCCGCTACTCAATGGGTATACGTAGAGTGTACTATATTCGTATTGCACGAGACACAAATTAGGTTGTAGGACTGGATGAGTATAGAGGTAATTTCCTCATATATTTTGTACTATGTATGAGCCTTGTCATAGGTCTGGACATGGCTCTGGAACGTACTTTTCCAATAAGGAGAAAAGTGTTTTCTAGTGTTTTCTGCCAAAGTGTACGGCACTCCTCATGGTCTGAAGCGATGGTGTGAAGGACAACCCTGCACTCATTAGGAATTCCTGAGAAGTGCGAAACTTTTTCTCTGATATACGAGAGTTGAGAGGAGTTGGCAACTACGCGTAGAGAGGGACTTGGACTCACGCAACTTGCAGTTACAGTTACGAGCGCGACGAAAGAGTAAAAGCTGCTCTGGGAATTACATTTCGCTACCAGAAATGCATCCGAGTGCGGCCCAAATATGTATGTCCCAGGTATGTCCTGGAGGTGGCGCTCGTAACTCATGGCTGGGAGCGCGCGGCCAGAAATGATTTACTGGATGACCCAAAGTAGGGGGATAGATGGTACTCACAGTATGTGTCCGTGGTCAGGCGATCGATGGTGTCCTGCTTCAATTTCGAGTTCTTCTTGCCCATCTTACAGTTGCCTCCAGCTGATTATCTTGCCCTGGCCTGCTGCACTCTTGTTATGCCCCCGGGTCTGGCTAAGTGTCAGACTGGCGATGGTTGTGGCAGCGATGACAGGTGATTGGCAGGAAGCACGTGTCTTATCCTGATTGGGCCTCAGTTCGATCTGCAAATACAAGTGGCAGCAGATTAAAGATTTCCATCATTCCCATCATCGCCATCGTCAGTGGCCCAAACGAGGCATTGCTGTACATTTTCAAGGCAAAACGTCATTTATCATGCTGCATCCACACAGAGGGGCTGTCTGTCTGTCTGTCTGTCTGTCTGTATGTATGCTGCACCAGCAGCATCACCACCTGCCATGGTCAGGGCTGCCCTGGGGCCTCCTGCCCGTGATAAATAGCCAAAGGTACTTTGATATTTAAGCACGTCGACGCCGAGTTCTGTATGGACCCCTCTCCATAGTTTCACAACCAGCCATGCAACCCATGCAACCAACCATCCAAACATCACCGAAAACAAGGCAAAGAACAACGACAACGAAAACAGCAGCAAAGCTGCAAAAGCAGCAGCAGCAGCAGCAGAGACCAGGTAGGTACTAGGCACAATAGACTGGAGAAACATCCTGAGCTCCCTTGCTGAGCGGAGGGAGTCCATCCATCAAGTCAACCCCATCACGGATGGATCGGGTGGGACGGCTGGGCGGGCTCCCTTAATGAAGAATCCCTGAGGGTATTTTGGATTCGTCTTGTGGCGAGGCTTCGTGTTTGCTCTACCTTTTGTGGTGGCGCGACGACAGGGATGGCGACAATGGCAGCGACGCTGTCCACAAGTTTTCTCTATATCCTTGCGTAATTAAAATTTTAATAATTTCCCAGGCAAGTTTTAGCCTGCTCTCCTGCACCTGTTTTCCGTTACGGCGGAGAAGGAAGAAAACTTTTTTAATTCCTTGTTGCCACTTGACAAGCAAATTGCGTGAGACTTTAATTGACTTTGGATTGCCGATGAAGTGCGCAGGCAGAGATTCCCCTCCCCCGCACGTGTAGGGCAATAATCATAATTTATGGCCACATAAAGGGGGTCCCTCCCAACCGTAATTAGACTCCCTAGACGCGTCATGGCCGCGCAGAAAACGACAAAATTAGACAAGAACTTGCATAACACAATCGCAAGGAAACTACTGTCCTGCCTCGAGCCTACTGTCACATTCTCTCTGTCCACGTTGGCCATTTTCATATTTCATATTTCATTTCGGTTTTGCCATTTTACGAGTTGCGGACAAATTTTGATGGCCCTGGCGGAAGCTGGCAAAGACATGTCACAGACTTGCCGCAACTTTTGATGAAATACCCAACCCAGCTCTCATTTTCAGTTCCAACTTTATGTAGCTCCATCTTTAGCAGACGTATGGACTGGCAGGACAACGACAACGAACAGGTGCAGAGACAGGGACACAAAGCTGTCGCCACGACAACAAGTCGCAACGGATGTTCCCAAAGCTAATTGCAGAGAACGAGAGTAGTGTGGAGCAGGTCTTAGAGTGACTGGAAATGTTTTAAATATATATATCTATAACAATATATGTAAGTAATAAAAGTAGGCCCATTTAATGGAGCGAAAATGGATTCCGCATCGCCAAAAAAAATCAATCGGACAGACATTTCACTCGTCGGTTATTTAACGAAACGAGCCCCAGACGAGGCAATCGAATCAAAAATGCCCAAAAGTTGCTGGGTAGTTGATGCTGACCGAGGAATGGAGGACGGGGATGTGGCATGGGGGCTAGGGGATTGTGGGCTTGTGGGCTTGTGAGCTTGCATCACCGGCAGGCCAAGTTGCCGGTGATGCAACTGCTAACGAACAGACTCCCCCGGACCATCGACCTGCCCTGTCATGTCCATTCACCACGTCCATATTCTCGCCACAACCATGTCGCAGTCCCTGCAGTCTCCCTGAAGTTGTCGGAAGTTGTTTGTACCAACTGCTTAGGGCGCCTGTCTGTTTCCAATTCCGTGTTCATGCCCATGCCCATGCCCATGCCCATGTCCCTGTCTGTTTCTGTCAGAGTCGGAAATTACAAGGAAAGAAAAAATTGAGCATACTTTTAGGCGCCTCCGTCCACTGTCCTGGTCACAGTGCCAGTCTGTCATGGCTCTGTCTCCAGCTCTGATTCTGATTTGAACCGAATCTTACACTGTCAGTGCACCTCAGTTGGGTGTGGTGTGGCTGCTCGGCTGTTCGGGGGTATTACGCGATTTCCGGCCAACTACAAATGCATTTGCCCCCTCAATTCCCTTTCTCTATACAGCTTAGTATACGTACAGACATTTATAAATGTATGTGTCCAACAGGGAATTATATAAACTAGCCATCAACGTTGCCATTGAATTTAATAATTGCCAACCGACTGGTAAACAAGTTTTGAAACACGTAAGACTCAAAAGATTGGCGAGGAGGTGAGGAGGTGTTATTTGAAAGTGATGGGAGTGATTTTTCTCTGACGAGTTTCAATGCCAAATTTGTTTGAAGCAGAAAAGAGGCAAAGAGTGACTAGGGGAAGCCAGAGAAACTTTCGACCTGAGAAAGGATACAAAAATAATTACAAAATTTGCGTAACTTTCCCTATGACCTGCACTTTATCGAACTTTTCAAACTTTATCGCTTTAATTGCTTACGAAAATAGAAATGGAAAGGGGAGAGACAAACTGGCTCAAACTTGGCCTAAGTCAATTAGTAATATGTACCAACAGAATAGTGAATCCATAGCCCATACATACATAAAGTCCAATCGTAGAAGAACATTTTCTGAGCATGTTTTGGCCATAAAAAGTAAAAAAAATAAGAGAATTATGAAATATGTATGCTCTTGTGAGTTTTGTGTAATTGCAGTCTTGAAAATGCACAGCTATTTTCAACTCAGCTAAGGGGCAGTTGTCTTAAACGTCGCAACAATTAACATAACACAAGTGTTCGTTGTTCCCATGGTGCACAGGTCTAAATCATCAGCGCTCTGCACCCCTCAATCTATTCTTCGCAGAGTCGCCGTCCATTTTGCCCCGAAAACAACTGCTGTCCACAGTCAAGTTGCTTTCATTAGAGCCAGTCCTCTCTGAGTCACGTCATTTGGGCAGCCAGCTAGCAGAAAGTAGTCCCTCCACCATCACCATTCTCGCCCCCCAATCAGGGAATTGCATTTCTTGGCGTCTCACCAAAATCTTTGGTGAAAAGTTTTCTACGACTTTCCCTTCAAATAGAGGGGAAATAAAGAGGGGTGCAAGAGGCATTTTTTTATCTGCTCCTCTCCTGCGGTGACAAGTGCTGCTGCTTCAGGTTATTCAATAGTTTTTATTATTATTTTTTCTTGTCCATTTGGAATGGAAATTTTCAAGACTTATGCTCGCCGGCTGTGATTGGGTCCCATTGTCTGTGTGTGTGTGTGTGTGTGTGTGAGTGACAGAGTGAATGACTGATTGACTGAAAGTGTTGAGTGCTACTCCTAGTCTTTAACTTTCACTTTAATACTTATTTCATTGAGAAAGTTTGTCTAATCTTATCGTTGAAGCATAGCTGCTTGCAGAGGAGTGGAAGGAATGTCAATGCTAGCAGTCAGCAATGCTGTGATTCATTCACCTGAAGGCACACACAATTGCCCTCTGCCTATTTCGGGGGTAGAGTTAAAGATAAATTTAAGGAAAATAGCCGTAAAGGGATAGAAACATAGAAAGAGGGAAAGGAGCAAACTTGCATGTGAGCGACATTTACATAACCTCGTTAATTTTGATTTAATTATTTTCATTCAATTTAGCAAGTCAGGCGAACAGGATAACTGAGCAGAATAACTGCAGCAAGATGATGGCAGCAAGATGTAGAGTGGTGAGGGGGATGAGATTAGCCGAAGCAGCGATGCAGCAGTAGGAGAGGCAGAGGAGGATAAGTAGAAGCGTGGGAGTGGGAGTCAAAGCGAATCGCTGACGTCGCTGGAGCGTCAGAGCGCAACAGCTACACCACAGATAAGCAGTTGAGTGAGAGTGGAAAAGTGGAATTAATTGAAGCAGTACACAAGTGTCGTATGACACATATAGCATGAGCAATAACTGCAGAGCATAGCAATCGTTAATTCCTTTAGAAAACTCTAAAACCAGATCGAATAAAAACCAACCCAAAGCAATCATATCTCTTGCTCTCACTGCATGCGTCATACGACCCATAATAAAAGAAGATTAAGCAGTGCGAAAGTCAAAAAGTATCGGAAGCTGAAGTGGTGGAAATATGTAGTTGAAGCAAAGCGAAAGTACGAGATGGAATCAGTCAAAAAAGAGCAAGTGGTAGCTGGGGCATGAGGCACAGAGAATGCAGTTTGCCGAAACGGAAACCGAACAAAAGAATCTGCAAAAGCAGCAGCAAAAAATGGGTGCGAAAAGGGGGGAGACCAGGCAGAGCAGCAGCAGAATAATCAGCAGAAGCAGCAACACAAGAATCAAAATCCAAAAACCAAAAATCTGTGCAAGAATAACAAAAATGGCCAAAGCCATCGGCAACAAAAAAATAATTTCAATATTTTATCACTTACGAGATGAGTCGAAATGCACATGAATACATATGTACATATGTATGTATGCCTATGTGTTGCTACACTTAAATAAACATCACTGCATACAATATAAAATATCTTGAAAAATACAGTAAAAACTCTATATAAACACTAGTCGACAAATGGAACGAACAGACAAACGCAAAGACAAACGGACATACATATGTATGTACATATGTATATGTATGTATTTGTATATATTAAAACTGTGTCGTGGCTCGCGACTCTTGTTTTATAATATTTTACTGGTGTAAGCAACACCTTCCGACTTTCCACATACATATACATATACATACATACATACATATATGTATCTCTGAGTGTAATAGTGTGTGTTCTATGTATGCATATTTCGTATACACCGGAGCTCTCCGGCTACCCCTTTTATAGGCTGCCTGGAGCGTCTATTGGGCAGCGTTCAACCTTAAACCAGCAGAAACACACAATCCACGCGCTCCTTTTCACTCCTGCCCCATTCCATTCAACACATATTTGTTGGGGAAAACTGTGGCAGAAAGGAAGGATATCTAACATGTTATTTTATGTCTTTGCACTTTTTTTATATTAAATTTTTC